GTAAAAATTTACTCAGCACCACTCTTTTTTCTCAAGCAGTTTGAACGTTCCCGTCTTGATTTCTAACCCAGCACGGACGTAAAAAAGACGTCTTTTAAACGTAACAAACGTCTTTTTACACGTTTTGGACGTCTTTTGAACGTTTTAGACGTCTTTTTTTGGTCTGGTGCCCACTGGCAAATCAGCCTAGTAGTTACGAGACCGGAGAACCTGAAGAAGATAAAATCTTAACATCAGTAATCTTTAGTAATAAAAATTGGAAATAAAAGTGTTTTGTTAAAAAAAATCATATAAAGATTCTTGATTGGTTATAAGTTCGATTATGTACTTTATAAATTTTTGAGAGGTATTGACTTCTTTAAGATTACAACTCAGGTTTGTAAAATGGTTCCATAGCATTGGGCCACGATAGGAAATAACAAAGCTCGTAAGTTTTGATGAGCGGAAAGGTTTTATTAATCTTTCGGTAGATCGTGTATTGTATCGGTTTAATGTTTTACGGAAAATATTTTCAAAAACATTCAGCGTTTTTCTTGGCTGGTGTTGAAACATAAATTGTGTAATTTTAATATTTAGTTAATAAATATCAAGTGCCTTCATATTTTTTAAAAAAGGTTTAACATTTGTGAAGCGATTTTGAAAATCGCTTCACAAATGTTAAACCTAATGCGCGCTGCATGATACTGTTGTTTAAGGAGACATTCGAGTTTGACATAACTATTCATGAATGCAAAATATACCTGAGTTAGTTTAGATATGTCTAAGATTTGTCTGGTTTTATATAAAATGCCAATATTTCTTGAGATTTTATTGCTAATATGTTTAATATGTTCTCTCCAGGATAAGTTTTCATTTACTAAAATACTAAGTAATTTATTTGTGAATGAGCGCTCAATTTTGATGTTATTTGTATATAGCATTAGTAAGGATTTTGGAATATATTGAAACTTTCGTTTAGAATCGAATAAGGAAAACTTTGTTTTCTCAGTGTTTAAAGATATTGATATTTGTTCTAGTTCATTTTTTGCTACTTGAAATAGAGAGATAATGTTACTGTGAGAATAGAATTGAGTGGTGTCGTCTGCCAACATAATAGTAGACATAGTATTTCATGCTTTAAATAGATCGTTGACATAGATTAAGAAAAGCAGCAGCGGACCTAAGATGGAGCCTTGTGGAACCCCACATGGTTTTTTAAATTTGTTTGTCTGAAAGCTGTCATTTAGAGAAATAAACTGCTTTTGATCAGATAAGTAAATGGTAAACCATTTGTGTCATTTGTGGCTTATTCAATAATGCTTTAGTTTTTCTTATAAAATTTGATGGTTAACAGTGTGTTAACGGTGTTAACGGTGGTTAACGGTTAATGAGAAGATGCTCCACTGATAACTTCAACATGTTGCATAAGTGCATGTTCCGTAGAGTAAACTGATCGAAAATCATATTGGTTATAATAAAGAAGATTTTTATCATTCACAGATATAGGTTGATAATTTGTAACCAGACATTTATCTCCTGATTTAAAAATAAGTGTAATAATTGGAACTTTCAGTTTATCTGGAAAAACACCTGTTTTAAGCAATTTGTTAAAAATATCTAATAAAACATCTTTAAGAAGTTTATAGCAGTCTTTGATTATGCTTGCTGAAATAAAGTCATAGACTGTTGCTTTGTTTATGTTTAGTTTTTTTATGGAGTCATCATGTTCTTTTTTTAGTGAGCTTTTTAAATGCTAAGCTTTTATCCGACTTCGATAGATAGTTCAAGAAATCTGCAGGAGTGTGTTTAATTTTACTGGCTAAGTTTAGACCAATATGGACCAATATTTCTATATATTATTTCTATATATTATTTCTATATACTATAGACCAATATAGTCTATATATTATTTTGTTTCTTTATAAAATTTATATAATATTATATAATAAATTTTTTTTGTTCTATGAGATTTAATGCATTTGTAAATTTTATTTTACTATTATTGTTATTATTGTTCCTGTTATTATTTTGATATTTTACATTATTATTATTTATTTATTATTAACTTCATAAAATCGACATGATGTGATCATAATATTCATGATTAAGCAAGGTAAACTTAGCTGTTCTGAAATATCCGTTATTAGATGTGATCAAAATAAAACTATAAGACTTATAAAAAGAATTGAATTTTTAGAATCGAAAAAGAAACCGAAAATAGTTAAGCTGCGTTTTGGTCAAATCTTTATGACAAAAATAATATGCGGAAAAAGCTATTGTTGTAAACTCAATTACTAAAACTATATTATCTGAACAGAAAGAGAAAAAAAAACGTCAAAAGAATATTATCGTTTTGTGGAATTCCAGAATCAAATAATTTAGATGAACGTGAAAAAAAAAACGACGATAAAAAAAAATTGACTAGATATTTGAGAATATTGGTAAAGGCAATGTAAAACCTATTAAAATATTAGGAATAAAAAATAAAAAAAACTCAAAAACTCCTTCGCCCATTATTGTTGTACTTCCTGAAAACTGCGAACGCAATAAAGTTTTACTTGCCACAAGGGAATTACGCAAAACATAAAGTATACAATTAAGAAAACATAAAGTAAACCATTAAGAAAATTACTGAGATTTAATCCGTAAAAGCTATATACACACACATTGACTCCTTATTAAATAAACGTCATCAGGCTCCAACAAATTGTAAACAATCTGAAAACCGAAATTATTTTTTTAACAAAAACTCTGTCTAAAAATAAAAAAATTGAAGTTTTGAAAAAAATTAAAATACACAGGCCCTGTGTATTATTATATATTTTCCTAATATTTATAAATAAAAATGAATCTGTTCATTCTAATAGTTTAAAAAAGCTCTTTTTTTTAAATCTAAAACTAACTTTTTATGTTTTTACAGAGGTTTGATTGTTCATGTGCCCAATTGCCCGAACAGGGGAAACAAGCCCTAAGATTTTTTGTATTTTCTTAAAATTTATTAACGTAAATAAATACGTTCACTCCTTCAGTTTGATAAAGCTCATTTACGTTAACTGAAGTTAATTTTTACGTTTTAAACAATGCATTTAAATCTTTAAACCCAATTGTCATAAAGGGACAAACGAGCTCTGGGATCCTTACCTAGGGGCCCTTTACATGAGAATATTACTTAGTAGAATTTGTTGAATGCTTTGATTTTTTTTTCTCATGGATGGCATTTAAAAAATAAACTTAATATCAAAATTTGAGGCCATAAACCCTCAAGGAAAACTTAACAAATTTTGACTCTGTTTATGTTTGAATACAAAACTAACCTAAAATAACTTACGCTTTGAATACCTAAAATAATTTACGCTTTGAATACAAAACCTAAAATAAAAATTTTTTAGAATCAATATCTCCATTCTTTTCGAACGGCCTTATCTTCTTAAGAACCATTTTATGCGAAAACCAAGCAATTTAAAAAATGATATTCTTCCATCACGCTCAATTTTTTAAAAGTAAAGCTAATAAGGTAGGAAAAAAGCCTTTAAATTTTTTTTTTTTTTTCAATTTTTATAGTTCCTGAGTTATGGTTGGTCAAACATATGAACCTTTAACTCTTGGAAATTCATTAATGTTGTTTTGTGATTTTCAAGCAAAACTTAAAGACAATGAGGTACCTGCATCCTAGTTTGCCTTTATATTAGAGAAGTATAGATCAAACTTTTCATATCTTGTTGCCAAAAGTATTTGTATTAAATTAAATGTATTTGTTTTAATATGGAAACTTATTTTTTACTTTTTTTGTGTGCTTGTTCAAAGGATTAAAACAATACCATTTTATTCTTATACCTCAATAAGTAAACTTTCTCGTCATAGTTACAAATAAAATTCATATGATTTACGTTGCTTCTTAAAAAAAGAGTAACATTTACATTTTTTAGATTATTTAATTTGGTAAGACAACAAAATTTTCATATCTTTTCATATATTTTAAATTTATAAAATGTAAATAAACGGCTGGACAAAAAAAAGACAAATTTAGTCTTATCACCAACCCCCTTAGATTAACACCAGTTGTTATAGCTATACCTTATTATTATTGTTATTATTATTGCTATTATTATTATTTTTTATTTTTTATCATTATTATGATTAAAAAGTGTTGGGATAGATTAGACTTTATTAACTTTAAATAAATCTAAACACTTTTGAAAATTTTAAATTTTTTACATGGCTTCCGTTTCAAAAAAAAAAAAAAAAAATGTCTGTTACGATTTTTTTTTTGTTAATGCATTAATTGCTTTAAATATTTTCTATTATTAGTGTAATTCTGTTATGCTATCACTATTATTGCTAATGTCAAAGTTGCTGATAAATGTGCTGTTTTTATTGTTGCTAGTGTTGATGCTTTTGACGTTAACTCTTTTACCATTATATTAGCATGGGAGTTCTATTAGTTAACCTTTTATTGCTATCTCTATTTTTATTGATAACTCTATTTTAAAGTTTTTATGAATTTGTTGTTTTGCTGAATAGTTTAGTTTCAACATTTTTTAAAAATTTAGTTTCCCAGAACCGAATTAAAGTTACACAATGTGCAGCAAATTTGGAGAAGACACCACTGCAATGGAGGTTGTAGAAGGCATCAGCTTAAGAGGCTATGAAGTAATAGTGACCGGTAGAAATTCTAGAATTGGTGTTGAAACTCTTAGAGCTTTAGCTAAAGCTGGTGCCAGATGTGTTCTTTGTACAAGAGATTTGGAAAAAGGACATCACGTTGCTAAAGAATTAATTGCTTCTACGGGAAACGATCAGATCGAGGTCGAGTTGGACTCTTTAAAAAGTGTAGATGACTTTGTGCAAAGATTTCTTGCAAAAAAGAGACCGTTAAATATCTTGGTTAATAACGCTGGAGTTATGGCTCGTCCTAAATCTTTTACTAAAAATGGATTTGAAAAACAATTTGATATTAATCATTTAAGACATTTTCCTTGACTATTGGACTTTTACCCGCGTTGAAAGAGGGCGCAAAACAAATGAGTAACAAATCTAGAGTAATCAATGTCAGTTCAACAGTGCATGCGTTTTCAAACGTTGATTTTAATGACATCCATTTCACAAAAGGTAGAGAATACGAAAGATTTGTTTCGTATGGACAGTTAAAAACATGCAATTTTTCGTTTTCATTGGCTTTGACAAAACGGTTTTTCAACGATGGTATTGCATCAAATTCAGTTATGCCTGGAAATATCGTAACCAATTTAGGAAGACATCTAAATAAAGAGTTTTAGATAGAAAAAGGACTGATTGATGAAAATGGAAAATCTCTGAAGAAATTTAAGTTAGTTAAGGCGGGAGCCTCAACATCAGTTTGGGCTGCAGTATCTCCAGAATTAGAAGGAAAATCTGGTCTGTATCTGGAGAACTGTTCTATTGGCAAAGAAGAATCAGACATTGAAAAGATGCGGACTATAATCTTAGGTTATGCACAATTTATTATGGATGATGAAGCTGCTAATAAGCTATGGAACATTTCCGAAGAGCTGCTAAGTGAAAGATCTCTCTAACTACATTTGCTTAGCTTCTTGACTTACAAGTCTATAAATTTTATATATCTAAACTTGTAGGCTTAATTGAGAAAACTATTTTAAATATAACAAATAAAACATTTTTTTGGTTTAAATACTAAGTTTTTTCTTCGAAATTTTTTGTGAATTTTTTTTAATTGGATTACTTTTATAATTTGAAACAAATGTCTATTACATTTAAAATCTATTAAAAAAGTGATTTTAAATAATTTGTAATATATGGTCTGACTAAAGTCTAGACAATCCATCCAAGTAATAGTTGGGTTACAACATTACGGTTCTATAAGTAAATCAATAAACAAAAATTATAAAAAAAGCGCCTATAATGCCCACCAAATAAAACTAATCTGGTTTTTAGTTTATATTGTAGCAGTTTTATTTAAAAATTGTAAAACTAATTATTAAGTATTACGATGCAATTTTCCGTATAGATATAATATTTCTAGTAGGTTAAGATAGAGCTAGTTAAATGTTTTTTAATAAACCTAACATTCTCTTCAACTGTATTGAAATGTAACCTGCAATTAGGCATTTTATATTTATATTTTTGGGATTTTAAGACTAAGACTGTATTCTTCTAAGTCTCGCTCATTTATTGATTATAGTTCACAAAAAAAATTAACTTTAACCTAATCTATACTTACATTTAATGTGGCTCTGGACACTAGAGACCATAAAAAAATAAAGTTATAAAGCTGGAATTGTTTTGAGACTTCGGATCCATGGTATGTAAGCTCCAAACATTTTGCAATTGTGATGATAAAACTCCATTCCATAGGTTTGATGCCTTTTATTATTTTGTTATTTTATATGAAAAATTTTAAGTATAAAAATTTTATTTATTAGGTTTAATAGAACTAATGTTTTTTTTTAAAGTTTGTTTGTGATGATTAATGTGCCATCACATAAATGATAATAATTATGAAGCTATGGCAATAAACGCAATGTTGACACAAAAATGCGAAAGTTCAAGTTAAATGGTTCATCTAAATCTGGTAAGTTTACACTTAATCAAATAATTCAATAATATTTCTGTTTTCCGTGTTTAAGTGAAGAAAAAGTTTTTTTCCTTTATTTTTACTATTATTAATGATTAGATTTACTGTGTTTTATAAAATAGTTTTTGTTAATAAAATTATTTAGGAAGATTAAGAGGCATTTTAATTTTTTTTTTTTAAAATTTTTTAGTTTTTTTTGTTTATTCAAAATAACTTTTACAATTAAAGAATGAATAAAATACATACAAGTATCTGCATTCTTATTATAAAATACATTTTATAATAAGAATGCAGATACTTGCAGAAGATTACAAGATCTTGTCATCGAGATCTGGCTAATCAGATTTTAAATAAAAAACGTTTAAGATACTTTAAATTGTAATTATACTGTGGCAACATTTTAAAGTTATCTATTTATAATAAAACGATAAATTGCGTATCATATAATTTATTAAGAACGTGCTGTAAATTAAATTAATTATCATGAAATTTCAAATCTCAAGGTATTATTTTAAAGACAAATTTTTAATGGAGTTTTGGTCCATAATAATCCAAGTACCACATGTTTTAATAAATATATTTGTAACAATACTGCATTTCGTTGTAATTGTAAATTTTCATTGTGATATTCATTACATTTTAGTTCATAAAGTTATAAAAAGGTCCTTCCCAGTAAGCACAAAGACGTTTAAAAGACGTTTTAAAGATGTCTAAAAGGCGCACTTGTTGACGTCTAGATCATAAGGCTAAAAGACGTCTAAATGAAGACGTCCTTATAAAAACGCGTTTTAGACGTATGTTAGACGTTTTTTTTAAGATAAATTTAAGTACATGACGTAACATTTTCGCGTAGTATGTGGTATATATTCATTGTATTTATAACATCATATTTTGTTATAATTTCGTATAATCAAAATATGCATAGGAACCAGTAATCAAAATAATATTGCTGCAATCACCACCAACGGTTGATGCATCAAAGATGAAAATGATAAATAACAATAACAAATATATATCAAAACAGTATTTAAAATATTTATAACTCACCATTAGTTATTATAATACTTACCGCACGTAATGCTAGCTAATTTTTGACCGGATATTTGACTTTTTATATGGCTTGTGGGTGTATAAAAACTAAAAGTACTGATATTTAACTTATATATTATTCTTGCCATTTTCATTTATTATCATGATCAGTCAACTGTCTATTAAAAAAGCAAAATAATTATTAATAAAAAAAAGATATATTATTATTATAGCAATTATTTTAGTGATTCCTGTGACAACAATTTTAGCAATTGTGTAAAAAAGTAATTTAATTTAAAGTAATTTACACTTAAAACTTGAACAAATTATTGAAAATAATAAAAACTATGTTTTTACTTTGAATATACGACATCTACGGCGTAATGACAAAGCCGTCAAAAAGAAGTCATAATGACATATTTATAAACAGGTCTCAGAAAAGATGTCTTTTAGCTTTGATTTAGACGTCTTTTAATGCGTATTTTAGACTATTTATTACGCGTCCTTTAAACGTATTTTTAAACTTCAAAAAGACGCATTTTAAACGTCATGTTAAAATTGCATTTATTAAAGACGTCTAGAAGATGTCTTAAAAAAAGATATCTTCTAGACGTTTTTTTAACGCTTAAATAGACGCCTTTTAAACGTCATTTTAAAAACTCTTTTATAAAAGACGTCTAGAAGATGTCTGTAAAACGTCTATAAAAGTGCGTCTTTACCTAGACTAGTTTTAGACGTCTATAAGTGTCTAAAATGCGTCTTGTGCTTACTGGGTTAACTCAAGTCTATGTAATTATGGTTGTTTTAACGTTGTTTTGCGTTAATTGGCACAACTACGTTATATTTGCTGTTGGACCAACGTTGTTTCGGGTTGTTGGCATCATTTTGCATTATCCAGGTAAAATTTGTTCAGAGTATAAGAAAGATAAAATGGAGCGTACCTTTTATGCCATACTTGGTGCGCAAGGTAATGCTAATTATTATATATATATATATACATATATATATATATATATATATATATATATATATATATATATATATATATATATATATATATATATATATATATATATATATATATATATATATATATATATATATATATATATATATATATATGTATATATATATATATATATTTATATATATATATATATATATATATATATATATATATATATATATATATATATATATATATATATATATATATATATATAATAATTAGCATTACCAAGGTAATGCTATTTATTATATATATATATATATATATTTATATATATATATATATATATATATATATATATATATATATATATATATATATATATATATATATATATATATATATATATATTAAAATGCAAAAAAAAAACTTTTTTCTGGGACTTCAAGGTAATAAGTATCGATCACTCTTAAACTGACAAAGAGCTGTATTAAATCCAACAGAATACAACACAACTCAATAATAATAATAATAATAATAATAAAAATAATAATAATAATAATAATAATAATAATAATAATAATAATAATATATATATATATATATATATATATATATATATATATATATATATATATATATATATATATATATATATATATATATATGTATATTTATATATATATATATATATATATATATATATATATATATATATATATATATATATATATATCTATATATGTATATATGTATATATATATATATATATATATATATATATATATATATATATATATATATATATATATATATATGTATATATATATATATATATATATATATATATATATATATATATATATATATATATATATTTAACCTAATAACTGGCTGCAATATGAAGATAAAAAGTGTATTTGTTTATAGCTGTTGTATACTTCTGACCTTAAAATCAATAAAGCGGAAAAATCTGAACCTCCCAAATCTATTTGGAAACTATTTTTTGTTAGAGTGCTGCATTCTTACAGTAAGCTTTATTTACGTTTAATGGTTTTAAACTTAGCTTATTTGTTCAACAAAAATTCAGTTTTAATTTTTATTATCTTAAAAGCACATGTGAAATTGCTAATTCCAAGTTGGATATTGCAGAGGTCTGCTCAGAACTTCCAACAGAATCAGATATTGAAGCAAAAAAAAGGAAAGCAAAAAGGTTAATTTTTTTATTCTAACTTCAATTTATTTGATTATTTCAGTAAATTGTTAACATGATGTTTAAAATTATGCTATGTGTAACAATATTCTATGTTGTGATGCTCATTTTATCTATTGGTAATATAAAACTTATCTATTGGTAATATAAAAGTTTATTTTATCAATAGATAAAATAAACACCAAAACATAATAACCCTATAACACAACAGTAATCTCTGAAATAAAAAGGGTTAAAAACTAATTTAGGTCATTACCAGATTTATGGAATGAATTGTGTGATTCAGATTCCGATTATACAAAATCTAAAAATGGAAAGAAGTTTTCAGTATCAATTTCAACCTCAAACCTGGAGTTTCCTACTCCTCCTCAGTTGCAATCCGGTTAGATTTTTGCATTTTAATAAATATTTTACAGATCATTAAAGATCCATCAACATTCTTAACATTAATAATTATAATTGTCCTTTAATGACATTTAAAAAAATAAAAAATGTTTTTCTATTATACTATATTTTGTTTTGAAAAATGTTTGATATTACAAATATGTTTATAATGCATTATTTGTACATAGAAATTTAAAATGGGCGTCATCAAAATGCATCATCTACTGCTCTCTGTAACTGATATTATTAGAAGAGACTAAACAAAATAATCAAACTATAATTTTTCTTCTGCCTCAATTATCAGCACAACAGCAGCGTGGTAATATAGAAACAAGTTTTAATGAGTTTGGGCTTCCTGTTACATCAATGGAACATTTACAAAAACTAGAAACAGATTGCCTTGACA